GTCTTTTCCATCCCCTTGAGCAAGGCTGGACCTAGGGCTGTGTGCCCACTAGGCACTGTAGGCTGAGCTATAGCCTCGATCCTAATCACGCTTTCCTATTTTCTATGTTCAGATGTTTTGAATTCTGGGCTAAACCCACTGTTTGAAGGTTGTACCACCTCCCAATAGTGACACCCCGAGGCCTAAGCCTTTAATCCCTTTAATCCACGTTTCTTTGGGAGACGCTCATCTAAACCCCAGTTTCCAAAACTGTCAATATTTGGTGGACCTGTCCTCAGAGATTCTGCTCCCTGTGCTTACTGAGCGCTGGCCTGATGAAAGACACCACAGCTCAGCTAGACTGCCACTGTCCTCAAAGAACTCCATGGTCTAATGGGAATAGGTATTTAAGGAATGGAATAATTAATGTTTCAAGAAATATTTGCTAAGAGGCTACCTCTTGTCTGTGGAAAAGGATTTTTAAATTTTATTATTTTTTGAATGAGTAGAAGTCCTGGTTTCCCATCCTCCCCTGTTATAGGTGATTCGTGGACTAATTTTCCTGTGATGCGGGATGTTGGTGACTCTGCAAACCAGAAGGTCCTGGCCTTTGGACATCCCTGACAGGTGCTGTCAAGCATTGCTGAACAGTCAGGTGTGGTGTTGCATGCTTGTAATCCCAGCACTGTGAGTTCAGGGCCAATTCAGAAGGTCAGTGAGGCAGTGTCTCCATAAAAGAAAGGAAGAAAGAACCGCTAAGCTGTGTTGGGTCCAGTGTCTAATGCCAAGTTAATAAGAGATTAAGATTAATTAGTAAGATTACCACCATCGAGCCTAGGTAAGTGTAGGGTTGGAGTAAGCTGTGACGGGAAGTGGCTAAGCATCAGCAAGGAAGCACACAAGTTGCTCCCAGGGGTTTATTTCTTTCAGCTGGGCGCACTGAAGGGAGGAGAGGAGAGAAGTGGGTGGCCCAAATGGGGCTGAACAAGCTTCCTCTTAAAGGTGTGTGGGCGCTGAGAAGAGGACATGCTCTTCAGACCACACACTTCAGAAGCCCTTGGGTGGACCCCGCCTGCTCTGGGAGGACCTGGGGTCAGTCAGGGCACATCAGATGGAAGAGGTGAACCACCCACTCATTCCCCTGGCACGTAGCTAGAGCCTTCCAAACTTCTAAAAGGGACCTGCATTTAAGGATCGTTTTCTGTGTGCCCGACACAGTAGCAGCTACTCTGCAGCTATCCTCCGGCAAGATGGAGGCTACTATCCCCACTGTGCAGTTGGAAAAACTGAGGCTTAGCAAGGTTGTGTAACTGGCTTAGCATGCATACACACGCGGCTGGGCTAAGATTTCATTAGCACTGCTACAACTTCCCACCCTGATTAGGAAAAGTAGGACCAGGGGATGGGGAGAAGTGTGGTCCTGGAATGGGGTGAGACAAGGAACAAGGAGGCTGCTTCACAGAGCGATCTAGGGCCCTCCCTGGTCCACGTGAGCAGTCCGAGTACAGGGCAGGGTGTGTGGTGTGACTTTGGACGGTGGAGTAGCCTTTGGGCTGTGTCTTGTGATTGAAAAGAAACCAAGGGGCCAGGACATCTCAATTTGGTCCTCACATACCTGTCGGGAGGTTGTATTGAGGCTGAGACTAGGGCGGGGGGGGGGGCATAATATATCCCAAGTAGGGGTGCACCCAGGAGTATTCAAGGTAATTCCTTGCCATATGGGGAAACACATTTGAATTTTCATAGTTTCAAAATAATGTTTTAAGTTTTTGTGTATATGTGAATTGCTTCTAATATATGCAGTTAGTTCAGTAGCTCAGCTACAATAATTCATAAGAAATCGCCCACCTCTTTTTCTTATTTATTTTTAAAGATGCCTTTATTTTATGTGTACGTTTTGCCTTGCATGTACATCTGCATACCGGAAGAGAACATCAGATTCTATAGGACTGTAGTTATAGATGGTTGAGAACTGCCATGTGGGTCCTGGGAATTGAACTCAGGACCTCTGGATGAACAGTCCATGCTCTTAACCACTGAGCCATCTCTCTAGCCCTCTCCTATCCTTTTTTTTTACATTGATGTTTCCAACCTTCTTTTTCCTGAGTGGCATAGCAAATAGAAAAAGTTTCCAGAACAAGCAAGCTCTGGGGAGTTGTAGGTGGGTGTGCATCCATATCTCTGTCCTTGTGTGTCCCAAGTGTGGGTGCATAGACTGGGCATAGCCCTGGTGGCTCCGACTGGCTAACCCAGGAAGTATAGCACCACTCCAAGGCCTGAACATCTGCCACAGGAGACAAGCACAGCCAGGGAAGCGGTGCCTGCACCTTGTGACTTCCGAGAAAGATGGAAGCAATGCAGAGCTGGGATCAGGAGAAAACATTCTTCCTGGGGGCAGTGCAGCTCCTAAAACTGCAGCGAGAAGCTTGGTAGACTCTGGGAGACCTTCTTCTAAGCCGGGCCTGGATGGCTTTGGGCTCATTTTAGAGCAATATACCTAAGGGCATAATAGAATTCGTAATAGAATATGCCCTTAGGTCTATGCTATGCTATGCTATGCTATGCTATGCTATTCTATTCTACTCACCATACCACTAGAATAGCTGCTTCATCCCTGTGACACGTATCTCCCCGGCCTCCACTCCAGGACATTAAGCTCCTCATCTATTTCAGGAACACGGAAATGGGCACCTTGTCTTGAACAAACAGAGACATTCTAGTCTTCATTGATAAATGTTTCCATCCACTCCAATCTTATAGGACTATTGTATGAAACTGCCAATCAAATGTAAGATGTGTGTGTGTGAGGGGGTCAGACTGTAAGAACAATGAGTTGAACTCCACCAGGTGGATTCGAACTCAAATCACACCATGTCCTTAGGATCCTGGATGGAATAGGTTTGCTGTGTGTTGCTAAGGGGTAATAGTTGCTTGCTTGAGAAATAATTAATCGTTTTGGGAGAAACCAAAATCTCTCTTCCCTTCCCAACTAAATGCAAAAGTTAAGCAGTTCCCTGAGCAGAAGTGTGTAGCAGGTTTTTTCTTTGGGGTCACCAACCAGCTCCCAAACCATGACACAGAGATTTATTAGTTTTGAATGCTCAGCTTAGCTTAGCTCTTATTTTAATCTGTTTCTCTTTATCTACATTTTGCCTCAGGGCTTTTTACCTTTATTTCTGTATCTCTTATTTTCCTGCTGTCTCCATGTCTAGTTGTTGGCTGCCTGGCTTCTGGCCCCAGGGGTGTCCCTCTCTTTCTTCCTGTTCTCTCCTTCTTCTCTCTCTTTTGCCTAGATTTCTCCTCCTATTTTTTTTCTCTGCCTGCCAGTTATTGGCCGTTCAGCTTTTTATTAGACCAATCAGGTGCCTTAGGTAGACAAGGTGAAACAAACGCAACACGTCTTTACATAGTTAAATGCAGTACAAACAAATGTAACACATCTTTACATAGTTAACAGAGGCAGCAGAAACAAAAGTAACACACCTTCACATAAAGTAACATTCTGCAGCATAAACAAATGTAACACATCTTTGCCTAAAGTACCGTTCCACAGCACAAGTGAGTGGTTGAGAGCTGGTGTAGTCTCGGCAATGGGAGGGAGGAGACCTCCTGTCCTGAGTTCAATTAGGAAGATCTTCTAGTCTAACTACAAAAGTTTGGAGTGCTCTGGGAAGCATTTTTCCTCAGACAGAAGCCTGTAGTTCCAATCACTACCATCTGGGGTCGCCACAAAGCTTTCTTCTCCTTCCTTAGTAATATGGTCAGCTTCTGAACATGGCTTTTTAGTATTTTGACCGTCTCTGACTTTTCCTTGTATCTCTTCCCAACTTTTACTCTTTGTGAACAGAGTCTGCTCGGATCACGTCTAGGGATGGATGCTCAAGCTAACTCATTTTCGAGATTTCCAAGCAAGTTTCCAGGACGCAATCCATTTCTGATCTTAGGAGTCCAGTTAGCAAGGGAGAGAAACGGTTTGGTTGCCAACTTTGCACATATTCCAGAGGGCAGCAAGGGGGAGCGGGGGACTCCCAGTTTAGGGAAATACCCGGGTTGCACAGACTGAATGAATGCTGTTTTCTATACCGCAGCCACCAATAGTTAGAGGCTGTGCAGTATCTTTTATTAGCAGGTCTGGGTGGAGCCAGAAACTGAGAAAGGCGGGCTAGTGGGCTTAACCCTTTGTTTTCTTTTTTCTTTTCTTTTCTTTTTCCTTTTGGTGCCAGAGATAAAACCTAGGGCCTCCTGCACGCTCTACCCACCAATGGCGCCCCCAACAGCAACTTACACTTACGTGTTGAAAATGGGACTCAGCCGGGCGGTGGTGGCGCACGCCTTTAATCCCAGCACTCGGGAGGCAGAGGCAGGCGGATCTCTGGGAGTTCGAGGCCAGCCTGGTCTACAAGAGCTAGTTCCGAGACGGGCACCAAAGCTACAGAGAAACCCTGTCTCGAAAAACCAAAAAAAAAAAAAAAAAAAAAAAAAATGGGACTCAGGAAGAAGAGAGTGTTACTTTTGTCCTTCCACAGACAGAAGCATGGACCAACTCCATGCGTCAAGGCCTAAATTAGGGTCTTGGTCCCCTTCATGAAGACACAGCCCTTTTTTATTTTTTGGTCCAAATTTTCTTGGAAGCCCGGTATGCAGGTATTTGTCATCTGAATGTTTAACGCCATCCCCTGGATGAGCCCCGCTGGGAGTTAGTGTCCTAATGTCCCATTCCTTTTCCAAACTGAATCAGGAAAGCGTGCGTGGGACCAGAATTCTGGACCAAGCGAGTGTGTGTGTGTGTGTGTGTGTGTGTGTGTGTGTATGTGATGATCCCACCAGGCTCAGGTTTCCACCATTGCCCTTTTAAAGAATTCCTGGGCGCCAAGTGACACTCATTGGTGCTTCTCCGCGTTGGGGGGGGGGGGTGTCGTGGGCTTTGAGGTCTGCTAACCACTACCACCCCGCCCACCCGCCTGCTGCTGTGAGATTACTTTACAGTGGTCGGGAGGTTGCTGTGTCCCTTCCGCGTCCCAGCCTTCTTCTGTCTCCGCCCCTTCGCGCCTAGGCGGCCTCGCCGCTTTAAGAGCGCGGCTAGCGATTGACAAGCAATAACCGTGGAGCGCCCGGCTGCACGGAGTCGCCAGGAGCTAGGGGCTCCCCAAGACGCAGGTAGGTATCCCCAGGCCTCTCGGCCAGCATCCACCTCAGAATCCCTGCCTTCTTTTCGTCCTGGCACTGCACTTGGGGACCCAATTCTCTAGGTCCAAACTCCCGGGCCCCTTTCCCAAGCCGACCCCCTCCCTCTCCAGCCGCAGCCCCCGGTGCTCTCTTTTCTCAGGGATGCGGGCGAGGAGAACTGAATCCCTCATTCCAGGGATGCTGGTTTCCATCCCAGAGTAAGGGCTCCAGAGGGACACCGGGCGCAGGGGTGCTGAGCTGAGGGGAGCCCAGGTATTGGCTCGGGGTCTGTGCAGGGTTTGGGGGAGACTTCGGATCCCGGCATTACGTAAGAGCCGTGCTGCCGGCGCTTCCGGCCGTGGGGAAGCTAGACTGAGACTGTGCTGGGTCCCTTGGCACTCTGCACCCCAAGAGGCCAACATCTCGACCTTCCTGGGAGGGGGTCCTGGGAAGAGCTGCCCTGCTAACGCTGCAAGGAACAGGAGGTTGCCGGGTCTCGGGGGGCCAGGGTTTAATGCCTGGGGACTTCAGAGGGAATTCGTGCCAGAAGCGAGGAGCCAGGGTCAGAAAGTTAGGTCAACTAAGAGGCTGGTGGGGAAATGAAGACTGGGGGTGGGGAGTGGGGGTTGAGGGGCGGGGGAAGCAGTCATTCAGTGACCTCATCCCCTGGTCTCTACGGGCGCGCAAGCAAAGAGCCTTCTTTGATGGCTCGCATCACGCCCCCTCCTTCCTGGGTCCTAGCGCTCAGCGGCTTAGGACTGAATTGGAGGGGCGGGGGCGGTCTGATTGTGAGTGCGGGCACGTCCTCCTGCTCCCTAGACCCCAGCCTCCGCTCCTAGTTACGACCAGCCCTCCCCACAACCCTACCAGGCTCCAAAGTGCCTTTGTCAGGCGTTCCTCTTTCTCACCTCTCTGTGTCAGCACTGATGGAGGGGTGGGTGGGAGGCTGGAGGAAACCTCCCCCTTTGAAGCTGGCGGGCTTCACCTACAGCCAGACACCCTGGGGGTGGGGAAAGATGGATAGCTTGGTGGCGGTGGAGGTGGGAGTGGGAGGGTACCTGGGCTTAGGCTTTTGGATGCTGAGGTGCTGGGTCCGTGATGACTGGGCCTGGGGACCTTGGCATGGAACTAGGCTAGCTTGCCTGGCACTGCCGTTCTCCTGTGGGCACAGCCGGCCCCTCCCTCTCAGAGACTTGGGTGGGGGTGGGGCAGAGCGAGCCGACACCGTGGGAACCAACTCCTCAGGGAGCAAACCCGGGCTCACTGGGCAGGACTCCCGAGCCTAGGGTTTCAGACAGGCTCCTCCCTTGCTTCTTCCCTGTCTCCTGGCTCCGGGAAGAGTTACCCCGCAGCCAGCACCTTTACTAGGAAACACGGCCTGAGCTATGAGAGGGTGCCCCCTGCTCTCTAGGAAAGAGCAGGGGAGTTGGCACAAGGGACACTGGCTGGCACAGTGGAGCCTGGACATTTCCCCCAGTCAGTGGTGCTAGTGTGAGAGGAGTCCCCCCCCGCCCCCCCGCAAGTTCAATGCTTCTGGAGAAGATCCAGGAGGAAAAGGAACTAGTCTACTCACCTTTGTGGTTTCTGCCTCCAGAGCTGAGGTCATTAGTTTAGGCTTGCGAGGAGGAGCAGAGAGGTGGTTAGTAAAGTTAGTAACTGCTCCTCATTTTGGATTCTTGGGTGGAGATGGAGTGGTCCCGTGTCTCCCCTCCCCCCCTTGTAGGGGTGCAAAAGGCTTTAGTCTTAAAGTGGGCACTGCCAGCTGCTTCCCCCTACTCCCCCACCCTTGCTGTGAGCCACTGCCTCCTGTTGTCATGGCAACTAGGGAATTAGGGTTTTAGCCAGTAGCACATGCCCAGGAAGGCAAGGGGAGGAAGAGTGGTGGGTCACCCCATTATCCTTTCCAGGGAGGATGAAGGACCCACTCTCGGCTTGGGGAGACCCTGGATGGGTAGTGGGGTTGTAGACTTTATGCCTATTTATGGCTGCAGAACCCCCTCCCCACCCTGTCCCAATTCTGGACCTGTAGATGAGAAGGGGGAGAGAGAGAAGCCAGGACAGTGGGAAAGGAAATAGAATTTCTGTCAGCTGGACACCAGTGTTCATGGGACACCCAAAGGTTCTGGGCGTGGGGCCTAGCGGTGGGTAATGGAGTCCGTTCTCGTTCTCACGGAGCTCCCCTTCCGGGGACACTTCCCGCTTTTGCCTTCTATTCAGGACTCACACTTAATCTCCTTCCAGAACCAGAAAGAAATATTATATTTTGTTTGTTTGTTTTTGAGATGTTTCCCAGGCTGGCTCAGATCCCTGGGCTGAGGGGCCCTTCTGCATTGACCCGAGTGGCCGGCACTGAGTGGTGGGCATCGGCATGCCCAGTGAGAAATACTTTTTCCTTACGCGTCATAAAGCCTAGGTTTTCACTGTGGCTCTTCTACCAGCTGTGGGGCTTGGGAAAAACCGATTAGCCTTTGATACTTCCTGTCTCTCCCACCTTTGAGAAGGGGCGTGCTATCTGCTCTTCTTGCCTTCCAGGGCACTTGGGGTCACTCTGCTAATCCAACCCCCCATTTCTGGGCAATGCTCTCCTCCTCCTATGTGGCTTTTCCTGAAGAGGATGCCCTTCCTAGTATCTCATGTCCCTGGCTTTGCCCTGTACCTTCTCATCCTTCTCTCTCCCGCTCTAGGAGACTGATTCCAGAGTCCTCGCTGACCTCACCATGCCAGTTGCCGCCACGAACTCCGAGTCTGGTAAGAAGAGGGTGAAGCTGTCAGTCTACCTTAGTGGTTGGAGGGGTGCAGCAGTAGGAGCTGGGCACTTTGTACTCCTCCCCAGTCATACCACACGCAGACACTCAGTCCTTCATTCAGCTGCCTCCTCACTGGGATCAGAGAGAGCAGAGTTAGACCCTCGCTGGCTCCAGGTAGCGCTGGGTTACATAGCACAACTCACCTGCTGGAGGGCCGGGGTGCTCGCTCCAGAGATGGTGCACACTGCAGCTGGACAGGAATGGCAGGGAAGCGCCCAGGATGTGGGGAGGAATCTGGGATTTGGAGGATAGTACAGGTTGGAGGAACTGAGAAGTCCATAGCACATTCTGCCTACCCGGAGGCTAGAGGGCAGGACAACTATGGTAGGTGTAAATAGAGAGACAAAAACCCCAGGTAGGAATGCTTGCACAAAGTACAGCCCTTAGACTACAGAGGCTGCAAAACCCAGGAGCCGGCTGGGGACTGCCTAGCCTTCTGAAAGAGTTGAAGGGCTATGAGAGGGGAGAACTCATTGCTGCAGAGGTGGCTGGTTGTTACCCTGTCGTCAGCCGGCCACCTCTCTCGGAGGACTTGTTTCCTCTGAAACAGAGTGGTAGGATTGGACTGGTGGTTTTAATTTTGCTCCTAGATCTCCCAGACTCTTGATGATCGCAGTGGGCCCCACCCACCTGCATTCATGCCCCAAAGTCTACACCGCACCCCAGTGGTTCCTAGAGTGTTTTCTGAGACCCACCAAAATTAGACTCCTTGTCTAGAAAGCTCTGGCTACAGCTGTGAGATTCCCTGAGAAGGCCTGAATTCTTCACAGTGGATCCTGCTGCTCCTTCGGCAAAGCATGCAGGTCCCCACTTTGGATGGAACAAATCCTTGTTCCTACCCTCTGAGAAAATGAAAAATGCTGTCTGCCGGCTAGAACCTAAACTGTGACCCCTTTGCCGCATTCCCCCTGCCCCCAGGAAAGGCTCATTCTCCATACTATGGAATGTCCCCAGCTTCTTGGAGGGCTCATGTTTTTTCCTGCCCCCCCCCACCCTGTCTCTCCCCCTGCTCTAGTCACCAGCTAGCCCGCTCTAAAGCTGCTTAGGAGTGAATGAGACCCATCCCTGAGCCTGTGATTAAAGGCTTCTCATCTGGGGCTGCCAAGTAAACCTATTAGCAGTGACCCGGGGGGTTGCATAGGGCATAGGCTCCAGCTGCAGGACACTTGATGGGGGTACACAGGACGGGGAGCCCGTGCCTATGAGTGTGGCCTGAGTTTTCAGACACCCCCTGGTGTCCTGTTCTCCTAGATGGAGTGCTGTGAACTGTTCATTGCTTCTATATCCAAAGGAAGAAGTACAGTGTGCTCCCTTTCCCTAGCCGGCCCTCTGTGGATTTCTCAGCCTCAAAATCTAAGGGTGCATCCTGCCCCTTATCATTTGGTGGCTATTGTACTTCCCATGGGTCTGACAGAGACCCAGCTGTGCCCCTCATCTGAGGTCAGGCTCCTCCCCACCCCCCACCTCCCACCACACCACCTGCTTCCAGGGGGGCATCCCTGTTTTGGGCTCTGCAAAGGTAAAACTAGCAAAGTTCCTTCTCCATCCCTTCCCCATGGATCAAAATGGCCCTTGTTATTATGGAAGGGCTCACCCTTACTTTAGATAAGGAGAGTTTGGAAGCTGCATTGGTGGTAACACAGCATGGGAGTTTAGACATCCTGAGCTCACTTCCGGTCCCACTGTTTTTTCTTTCTTCACCAGGCTCACTCCTCTCCTTGAATCAAGGTGAGGATGTGGGCCCGCATTCAGATGAGGCTGTCCCTTTAAATATCTCTGCCATCCCTGGGTTACCGTCCTTGTGTGTTATCCTGCCTGCTGCCATGACAACCAGGGGTGCAAGGCGACCTGGTGCCAGTCCTCTGGGAATGGCTAACTGGAGGTGGCAGCAACAGCAACAGCAGTGCCCTCGTGGTGGCCTCACGGTACGCATGCGTTCACATGGAGTACAGGGTCGTCACTAAGCCCCTTGCTCTTGCCCACTTTTATTCTTCCTTCCCCCAGTTCTAAGGTGCCTGGCTTGCTCCAGGGCATCATGCTTCACCTGATGGATAATGATGGCAAAAGGGAGAAGCAACCACTAAGCTAGAGTTAAGGGGCGGGTCCTTTACTGCTCCGTGGGTACCACCATTCTGTCTCTCCCTCCACCCGCCGCCCACACCATGCCCTAGTGTATGATGGCATGTGAGGTTAAGACACTTGCCTCTTGTCAAATGGTATTACTGCCTTCCTGCACCTAGAGCTGTTCTTGAAGGCTTCCTTCGGTTGAGGGGGTTATTGTAAAGAAGCTAGCCTGGCGTGGGGGAGAGGGTGAAGGTCAGGAGCAGGTAGGAGTCAGCATCAGAAGTAGAGGAGGGACATCCATATGAGAGAGGTACGAAAGCAGACGGGAGTCAAGCTCTGCCGGGAATTTCTACACTGGCTGAAAGGGCCCAATCCTGAGGGACTTACCCCAGTCTCATCGCTACCTCCCTACCTGCACTGGTGACGGGGATCAGGCCAGTTTAGCATGACTCTCTCCTGCCACCTCCCTTCTCCCACCCATTACCGCCCCCCTCCTCACCAGCAGGCTTTTGGCCAATCAACAAGGCGGTCCAGGAGGCGGAGCCTTGCTATTGGCTGATCCTGCAGCACTCTGCGAGTCCCGCCTTCTTTAGCTCAGCCCGCGTCTGGCTGGGAAGGCGCCGGCCTCGCGGGAGACTGTTCCAGGATTGCCAAGGGGTCGCCATGGCCTGCAGCCCAGGCAGTGGGGCTTCCTTGGAGGGGATTTCCCTGGGCTCCTCTGAAGAGGCAGAGCTTCGCAGGGAAGGTAGGAAGAGGAGTGGGGAGAGGTCAGGGGAGGGGTACTTACCCTTTAACTGACCCTCTCATAGTGGTCTCTGGGGCACCTGGGCAGCAGTGCCCGTAGGGGAGATCTAGACGCCCACTGGCCAGAAGAGCTGATCTGGCAGAGGACATTACTCCCCCCTGCTCAGTCCCCCACCCTCAATAGCTGATTGTCTGGGCAGACAGTGAGCAGGCCCAGGGACTGTGGACGTTTGGCAGACTGGGAAGGGCTCTGACTTGCCTTCTTTGAGAGCTCTGGAAGGACCTTGTAAGTCTCTGGTCCTTGCGAGTCCGGACCTGGAAAGGAAGGGTCTGGAGGCAGACTGGGCTGTGGTTTATGGAGAAGATGGGGAAGAGGAGCGGGAAAGGAATGGGGTTCAGGAGCCCTAAACCATCCTCCCCAAGCTCCAGTCTTAGGGCCCCCTCCTGCCCACCCTCACTCTTTGGAGGAGGGGAGCTCTGACAGGATTGGGGAGAGGTGACAGGGAGCCTATTTCCCCACTCCCCCTCCTCCAGGGCTTGGATGCTGTTATGTAGAAGTAGGCGTGGGTGGCAGAGTAATGATACCCCCTGCCCATCTTTGCTCCCAGCTGGGCACACTGATTTTTTTCCTTCCTTCCACCCCCTGGAGCTCCCGCCCACCTTCCCCCCCCTCCCCCGGGGAGTGAAGGCAGTTTCTACCCCATTCTCGGAGACCAGTTTTAGGTGTACTGATGTCCTTGGCTGCATCTCATCCCAGGCTGATAGTGCTCAACCCTTGGGCGATGTGGTTTTTGACATCTATCCTTGGTACCCACAGCTATCCCTGGGTGCTTGTTTCTCCAGCCCCTGCTGTTATTCCAGGCTTCTGTTTTGACTTTTTTTAAATCATGCATTAATTTCTAAATAATGATGTCTCTTAGAGAATCGTGCTGTATCACACTAAGCTAGTGGTATGTAGCTTAGAATGGTGCTGCGTTGACCCTGGCCTTTGGCAATGCTGCTTGCTTGGGTATGCTTGGACTCCGGGACCCCCCTCTAAGCACTGTCTTACCCCTGGGCTGCCAGCTACAGGTGGTTGTGTCCTCATGCTTTGACCCAGCTAGAAGTTGAGTGGGATGTCTGAGTCTTTGGTGCTGGGCAGAATCTGGAAAAGGGACACCTGCCCCTGCTCCTTGGTCTGGTTCCTGCTGCTGGTAGCCTCCTACTTTCTCAGGCTGGCCTTGCTTAGGGTGGAAAAAAAGGTTAAGAAAACTGTTGCCTGTCCCCAGGATCTCTGCCTGGGAGTCTGTGAAAGGAGAGTAAGTGCTGCTGGGTGTCTTCTATGGGGCTGGATATGGGAGGGTTTGTGCTGAACTTTCATTTTCTGTGTCCAGCTGATACTCAGCATCTCACTGCCCCTCCCCCAGCCATGCAGCAAGTCTTGGACAACCTGGGATCCCTCCCCAACGCCACCGGAGCTGCAGAACTGGACCTGATCTTCCTTCGAGGCATTATGGAAAGTCCCATAGTCAGATCCCTGGCCAAGGTATGGTGTATCAGGAAAGTGGGTCTCGGGAACCCTAGGAATGGGGCACATGACGGAAGGAGCCACCTGAAAGGGTGTGGAAGGATATCATGCCTGGGTGAGGAACCTGAGGGTCCAGGTAGATGAGCTTCCGTGGCACCTGGCTGCACCTGGCTCTATGTGGCTGCACCTGGCTGGTGAGAGGTGGCAAGGGGAACATCTGACTGAGAGAAGAGCATGCATGGGTATTGGAATCTCCAGATTGGTCCTGCCCACTTCTCTGCCTTTGGGTGTTGGTGCATGTGTGCCAGGTGGGAGGCAGACTCAGGAAAAGAGACAATTAGGAGAATTTCGTCATGTCACGTTAGGAGCGGATGCGCACATGCTTGGAGGAGCATCGAGGACAGAACCTACCTGAGCCTCTGGGGGTAGAGGGGGCCAAGAGGGGGAGGGGCTAGCTGAGTATGGAGGACGCAGAAAGGGGCAGGAAGAGAGCTTGGGCAGAAGCATCAAAGTGAGAGGTATTTGGATGTGTGAAGCTGGGGCCTCAGGTGCCAGACAAGGACGGTGAGCTGTGAAGATGGTGGCAGATTGTGGAGGGCACTGAGGGTCATGCCTGGGGCCTCAGATATTGTTCCTCAAGTATCAAGCAAGCTTTGTACATTTTAGGCAAGAAGGGACAGTGACATAGGAGTTTGGGAGCCCCCCCCCCCCCCCAGCTCTGGCAGCCAAATGGAGGGTTTCAGAGACCAGTTAAAGATCACGTGGTAGTTAGAGCTAGGAGGAGCGTAGTGCTGAGATGGTATGAGATAGGACATAATGAGGAACCCAAGGTTCTGTTGTAAGTGGGGGAGGCTGGTGTTGACTTTAGTAGAGAGGGTGCAACAGTAAGAGAGGGAATCTTCTCCTGTGGTGAAGGAGGTGCTCCTGGGAGGGAAGGGGGTGCTCCTGGGGAAAGGGAAGTGATCCTGGGGGGAAGGGAGTGCTCCTTGGGGGAAGGGGGTGCTCCTGGGGGAAAGGAGGTGCTCCTGGGGAAAGGGAAGTGATCCTGGGGGGGAAGGGGGTGCTCCTGGGGAAAGGGAAGTGATCCTGGGGGGAAGGGAGTGCTCCTGGGGGAAGGAGGGTGCTCCTGGGCTGGGTTGGAGGCAAGGCTGGGCATGCTGGAAGTCAGGCTGATCACTGGGAAATCTGAGGAAAGGCAGGCATTCCTCTCCTGGGATTCAAGGGTCAAGGTCCAAGCAGGGGATCAGAAGCAAAGTTTGACCAGTCACTGAAGGGGAGAGGATCTAGTGAACAGGGACCCAGACAGTCAGCTCGTGATAGGCACTGACTTCCCTGGGTGGGATGACTCAATCCCTCCCCCAAGGGGAAGAAGAAGGTGGGCTTTTGATCCTTGGCTCAGAGGTAGGTGGAGACGTGAAAGAAGCCTGAGATTGAAAACATGACCTTGGGGCCCTGGCTGGGAGGAAACCCACCAGGAGGTTGGGAGTGGGGTCTGCCTGAGATTGCACCATAGCTGGGGAGTGGTGAGGGTGTAGAGATGGAAGAGAAGGCCAAGGCCAGAGAGGGAGGTAGGAAGTGGAATATTTCCAAGGAGGACATTCTGGGGGGATGGCATGACCATACACGGTGTGGCTGCTACAGATAAGTCTGTTGTTCAGGGGCATTAAAGAGATCCTGGAGGGAAAAAGCTGTAGTGAGGCGGGTGTGGCTACATGCACCTGGGAATCAGAGCCAATGGCAGGTGATGTGGGAATGAGACTCAGGCAGTCAGCTGGGCCTTCAGAAATGAATGATGGGGAGGGATTATAGGACAGAGAGGCAGTATAGAGGGCGGTAGGGTTTCTTTTGTCTTTTCTTTGTGTGCACATGTGTGCATATGTGTATGTGTGTGTGCACATGTGTGCATATGTTTATGTGGTGTGTATTAGGTCCTGCTGGAGGAAGGGACACATCTGGCATACGTTAATGCCCATGTACACGGGAAGCGGAGGCAGGAGACCTATGTGTTTGGTAGCTTGGGCAACATAGTAAAGCCCTGTAAAAAAAACCCACAAGAACCCAGCATAATGATTTATTTGTTTAATCCCAGCACTTGGGATGTAGAGGCGCGAGAAGCAAGGGAGTTGAAGGTCAGCCTCAGAGAGTTTGAGGTCCCTCTGGGCTTCCAGGAAATGCTGAATCCAGAAACCACAAAAAGTAAACATTCAAAGCGAACAAAAACAATCAAAACACAGAAAAGAGCAGATGATTAAAAAGTCTGAGAAATTCTGAGGAAGAGAAAAGATGATTGGAGGCTACAAGAGAAAGGGAGGTTGCTTTTTGCATTCTGTGGTCATTGAAGATAACTTTTCTTAAAAAAAAATTTAAAGCAAAAACTCACACGTGCCTGTGGTGCTAGCTACTGTGGAGACTGAGGCAGGAGGATTGCTTGAGCCCCGTGCAGGGCAAGTCTGGGCAACACAGTGAGACCCTGTCTCTTAGACGATGAGGGGGAATTATTTGTGTTCAAATGTTGAGCACTTGTGCTCCAGGCAGGCAGGAAGGTTTGTCTGTCTGGATGACCGCCGTGTCTTCAGAGCCTGAAACAGTGTTTGGCACATAATTGGCTTTTACTGAATATTTTTTGAGTGGATAAATAGAAAAGACTGAGAAAAACCAATGTAACCACTCCCCCAATACCCATCTCTGTAATATTAATACTGAGACTGTTATTTTTGGCTTTCTTTTTAAAGCCCTTTAAAAATACATGCATTTCTTTATGTGTATGTATGTTTGTGCATGGGTATCTCCAGAAGCCAGAAGAGGGCATTAGCTTGCCTGGTGCTGAAGTTGCAGGGGTTGTGAATCATTTGATGTAGGTGCTGGGAACCGAACTTGGGTCCCTCAGCAGAAGCAAGAAGTGCTCTTAACTGCCGAGCCCTCTCTCCAACTTTTACTCGTTCTGCTGAAGAAATACAAATGTTGTTTGTTAAATCCACTCCCCCCCCTTCCTCATTTCTACTGCTGTCCCTTCCCAAGGGTAAACACTGGTGATGTCATTTCCCAGAATGCTTGCTATCCTTATCTATATATGGGTTTAACCACTAATAATATGCCCTTGTTATCCATGCCTTTAAATTGCCCATAAATGGAATGATAGTATAATCTGCTTCTGTCTTTGAGATTTCTAGTTTATGTAGGGAGCAAAGTTCTTGATCTAAGTATAGGTAAAGATGGTGAGATTCATTGAACTATTGTGTTCCAATTGTGACATGTGTCGAGCGCCGAGTCTGGTGTCTCCCTTCTGGGAGATGAGGGTGGTGGTGCAGATTTTTCCCTGAAAAGGACAGCACTGATGAAAATGTCCTTATATCCTTGTGTTTATGCACAATGTGAGGATTTCTCTGGGGTGGACCTGGCAATGGAAGTGCTGAATGCATGAATTTTTGAGCCTCAACATCTGTAACCTTCCAAAGCTGGATTCAGGGTTGTATGGGTTAGGCCACATCTGTGGGTCACAGGGTCAGGGCTGGGTGGTATCCAGCTTCCTTCAGAGTGACTTCCCTCAGTAACACTCACTCCCTGATGGCCTTGCCCAAGCACTTGACAGATTTTCAGAGAGGGATTGCTGGTTCTGTCACCCATTCATTCCCTCACTCATTCATTCCCTCATTCATCATTCATTCATTCATTCTTTCGATCATCTATTCAACAGCTGTCTCCTGGATTCCCAGCATGATTAAAGATCCAGCTGCAGCCAGGCGGTGGTGGTGTACACCTTTAATCCCAGCGCTCAGGAAGCAGAGGCAGGCAGATCTTTGTGAGTTCGAGGCCAGCCTGGTCTACAAGAGCTAGTTCCAGGACAGGCTCCAAAGCTACAGAGAAACTCTGTCTTGAAAAATGAAAAAAAAAAAAAAAAAAGATCCAGCTGCAAAATCTTGGTACCTCAGAGCCCTCAAGGGATTCGGGTTAAACTCTTTGTAGTCGTTAGTAACCTACCTCCTTCCTTTGGCCTTTGAGGAGTTGGGCTTGACTTTTGTCTCTGAGAATATGAAAGGCATGTGGGGGGGTGTCCTGGGATGGGTAGAGCTAGGGCCAAGAATGGGATGCCTGAGGAAGCAAACCCAGGGAATTAAAGATTCTGAGGGCGAGCATGGCAGGCAGCTCCCAAGTCCAAGGGTTAGCTGTAGATAGCAGGTGCCTGGCATCTGGGAGGGCTGACATGGATCCAGCAACAGGTGCTTCAGAGGCAGCTAATACCAAGGTGAACAGTCCAAGGCGAGTGGCATTTAGGAACCGGTTAAGTTGCTAACAGCAGGCTCGCCTGCCTGCAGGAAAGCATGGGAAGACCATATTTGAACTAGGCCACATGATGAAGGGCAAAGAGCCATGGCTGAAGTCAGAGACCCCCCTGACTGACACTTGGGGTGTCCCTTATTCTGACTCACGGTTTCAGGGCAGTCTGTCCTGGCAGGGTTCCTGGGAGTAAGAGCATGCGATGGAGACTCAGCACGTCACTGTGGACCAGGAACCAGGGAACAGCTAGAACTACGGGCGGGGCTGTCACTTTATTGGACTGTTCCTAGTGACTTCTTTCTGCCAGATAGGTAGATCTAAAGGAACCTCCTAATGGCTCCACAGCCCTCTTAAGCAGTGCTACCAGCTAGGGAATAAGCTTTCAAAAACATGAACCCATGGGGGCGCATTTCAGGTTCAGACCCTGTGGGGCCGTAGTCTGTTGATCTGTGGGTATCAGTTGTTTCTTCTGAGAAGTGAGGAGAGGCACACCTGTCTGGTAAGAGAGTCAAACGGATGTAGTGGTGGCCATGGATGTGGCCGTGTCCCTGTGGTATAGTCTTCCATCAGCCTGAATTCCTCAGAAGGCTTTGTCCTGTGGTTAGGCTGCCTGGGATGAGCTGGCCGAGCAAGCCAGGGCTCTAGAACAATGAGGGGACAGGGAAGCCAATGAGATTGGCGCCTTGACAAGGGTGTGTGTGGTAAGGGGAAGGTGTGGCAGCGGGGAATTCCCTAAACCAGTG